ATAATCATCGGTAAAAGTCACATAGAAGCGGTTCCCATCCTTCGTGGTTGATCTAAAAGGTCCACATACATCGGTATGTATTAGGTCTAATAGTCCCTCACCCCTTTCACAAGTACTCGTGAAGGGTGACTTAGTCATCTTTCCAAGTAAACAAGACTCGCATGTGTCATCTTCCCTAAGGTCGAATGACTCCAACACTCCATCCTTTTGGAGTTGGGCTATGCGTTTCTTGTTGACATGTCCAAGACGACAATGCCACAAGGATGCTTTATCCATACTAGTGGAAGAATCAATATTCAAAACATCATTTCCTAAGTTATCAACAATCATAACAGTTTCATATATTCCATTACATGGTATAGCTTCAAAGTAAAAGACACCATTTAGATAAGCCAAAATAGAACCATTCTCATTATTAAAAGAAAATCTAAATCCTTGTCTATATAAACCATGAAATGAAATGATGTTTCTAGCCATTTCTGGCGAATAGCAACAATTGTTCAAATCTAAAACTAAACTATTCTTAAGCACTAAAGAATACACTCCAATCTTGGTCACAGGCGACGATCTTCTGTTCCCCATGATTAGATTGATCCTTCCTTGCTCCACATCCCTACTTCTTCTTAGTCCCTGCACATTAGAACAAATGTGATAACCACAACCGGTGTCAAGAACCCAAGAAATAGCATGATTAGAATCGTTAGATTTGATTGCATATATACCTGCGAAAGATGGCTTGATCTTTCCTTCCTTGATGGCTTGCAGGTAATCCGGGCAGCTTCTCTTCCAATGTCCTATCTTGTGGCAGTGGTGGCACTCTGCCTCCTTCGGGTTAGAGCAGGGCTTAGAGGGATCAACTTTGGTCCCACTAGAAGAGGAACCATCTCGGGCTTTCACCTTTCGATAGTTATTTGAAGAAGCTTTCCTCTTCTTTCCCTTCCCTTGACCAATAGCCAAGACAGGAGCAGCGGATGGATTGGGAGTTGGTGCAACAGACTTGTCCTTGAAATTGCTCTCAGCAACCCTCAAGAGACCTTGGAGTTTACTTAGAGTGACCTCCTCTTTGTTCATGTGGTAGGTCATCCTAAATTGATTATACATCGGAGGCAAAGAGTGAAGCACCATGTCGATCGCCAAGTCTTCGCCGAAGTCAACATTTAACTTGCGAAGGCGGTCGACATACCTTTGCATCTTTTGCAAGTGCACGGTAAGAGATTCTCCATGACCCATCTTGGCGGAAATCATGTTAGTGAAGATCTCGTAACGCTCTTGTCTCGCGTTTTGGTGGTACCTCTCCAACAAGTCTTGATGCATCTCGTATGGATACATGTCCTCGTAGGACTTTTGGAATTCGGAGTTCATGGTGGCGATCATGATGCAATGTACTTTCGTTGCATCTCGCTCATGGGTTTCAAAGGCGGTGATTTCGGCGGGAGTAGCAACTTCGGGGTTGATTTTCTCGAGCTTCTCGTCGAGGACATACTCTTTATCCTCATAGCGAGCAATGGTGCGAATGTATCTTATCCATTCGCCAAAGTTCGTTCCATCGAAGGTGACCTTTTGGCAAAGGCTCATCAACGTGAAAGAACTAGCAGCAGCGTTGTTTGCGTTTGACATCTATAGAAAGGACAAAGATAGATTAGAACAAGAATCCCTAATTATCACCCAATAAGAAAAATTAGGGCTAGGATCCAACAATAACATTTACATACTAGAAAAGGGATGCCGTAATCTAACATGCAAATAAATTGAAGGTAAGTGAATGACGATTCACTAATTCTCCATCACAAAACTTAAACTTTTAGTCCTAAGTGTTTTTGAGAATTCCTAGGTTCGGATGAGATTCATTGAACTATTCAATGGCATGTTTAAATCTCGATATGCCCCTCTTGTTTGTGACTGGGATGCCGAGGATCACAAAGCGGGTGTGAATTACCATGCAAATTCACATGGTGCCTTCATTGTAACGATCACCTATTCGATGTGCCGGTAAACCACACACGCTCCATCGAACTATGATAAACAATGAATCACCCTTTGCCACCTTCGCTTAGAACCAATTAGTGTGCCGGTAAACCACACACGCTCCACTAACATCTTAGCAAGGTGCAAAGTGTAATTTCATGGGATTGCATCAATTCACTTTTCCTAAAGTAACTAAGATTGGGAAATTTTAAAAAAAGTTTAGTTACTTCGTATTTCTTATTATACTTTTAATGAGAGGATGAGGTTGCCCTATCCTACCCGTTCGGCTAACGACCCTCCACCAATCAAGCAAGCGGTGGGTGTGAGTGTACACCCATTAAGCGCCATTTTATAGGCCGCAACCTTATACCCACCTTATAGATCGGCTTCGTGAATGAGGCCTACTAGCGGTAAGACTAGCATTTAGTTATATATATATATATATATATATATATATATATATATTCTAGTAATATCATATAAGTATAGGGTTGCATTTTAAACTTTTCAAAATCTAGGGTTTGAAATTTAAGTTGTCTAAATTAAAACTTTTAATCACAAATATAAATTTCAAAACTTTAGGGTAGGTTTTAAACATTTAAAACATGAAGGATCAAATAACAAATAATTCCAATTAACAATTAATATTCTAATTATCTTTATTTGATTTATCTTGATTTCTTTGAAGATAATTACCAAAATAATTAATTATTATCATATAAGGAAATTAAATATTTTATTAGATGATAAATATCTTTAATTAGATCAAGATAATAGTCATATTTATCAAAAAATCGGATTTACATTGATCTAATATGATTAAGGTAAGTTTCCATAAGATAATTATGAAAAAATCCCGAATCTGGCCATTCCTGACGCCTGGACTCGCCGAGTGCACAAGGGGACTCGCCGAGTCAGGCCTACTCGACGAGTCCACCTTGGAACTCGACGAGTCAGTGACTCAAAACCCAAAAAATCGAATTTTGCAGGTTTGTTTCAGTTATCAAGCAACAATTTAAAGAAAACCAATCTAGGCTCTGATACCACTGTTGGGTTTTAGCCATAAGAACTTTCCTATGTGCGCATGCAAAACCCTATTGCTTGGATCTAGGCTTTCTAATAAACATGCTTTTGAATCCAAGACTTCTAATGGCTAATTAGGTTAAACAACAATATTAAAACAGATCTAGAATCATACCTTTGAATCCTTGTTGATCTTGTTTGTCTTGGAGCTTCTAGAGTCACAATTGTCACTCCTCTAATGGCTTACAAACACCAATCGCAAGCAAGATGATTTAGGAGAGAGGATAGGGGAGGAATTCGACCAGAGGTTCCTTGCTTAAGGTTGTGTGTCGAATTCCCACATCCATAGGGTCTATTTATACTTTCAGACTCCTTAAGGGTTTTACCCTAAACCCTAATTGGATAATCTTCTCTTAAGGCTATCCAAATCCATTCCATAGATAACCCTATGGACGATTTTGAGCTATCCTAAAGCTCTTAGAATCCGTCCAAGGTGTATCCTAATGGATTTATAGTCTAAAGTCTAACTATCAAACAATTGACAGTTTATACCCTCTTATTTAATTAATCTCTTTAAGTCACCAAATTAATACCAATTAATTCATGACTTATATTAATCAAATAGCTAAATATTATTCCTTATAATATTCACTCTCTCTTAATAAATCATCCTTCAAGTTGCTATGGTGAAGGCAACCCAAAAGGACCATGCACCACCGAATATAGTTATAGCCTTAAACACTATTCCAACAATTTATCCTTGTGATTTTTGCATATGTTTGTATGATTATATGTTTATATGTATATCAGCTGGGGCCCGATGCTAGGCCAGGCCAGATAACTGACAGATCTGTTTACCGAGCGGGGCTCGATGCCGGGTGGGGCCCACTATATGTGTGATATGTATGGTATGTGGTATTTTGAGGAACTCACTAAGCTTTGTGCTTACGGTTTTCAGTTTATGTTTTAGGTACTTCTGGTTCGAATGGAAAGAGTTCGGGATGATTGCAGTGCACACACCACATCGTTCTACATTTTTATACTACTTCGATGTACTTGGATGATATTGATACACTTTGATTCGCCATGATTTGTACGATGTTGTTTGGATGATGATTTTTTTAATTTAAAAATCGAAATTTTAGACTTGATTTTTGGGACATTACAGTAAAATTTTTGGATAACTTCTAAAAATATTTTTCATTATCTTGGGATATGAGATCTTTATGCAGCATATATCGTCACTCATGATTACGTAAAAATGAAGAAACTTTGTGGGTATAAATTAGGAATTCTTCAAACTAGGTCACTTTTACAAGCAATTCAAGCAATTGAGCTCTCTCTCTAAAAAAGACTTCAAATCGTCATCTCAGGAATCAAAGATTTTGTCAACTATGTCAAAAGTTGTCCTCTTCGATACGCATTCCGTGACTTTCGTGATCTATTCTACCTTAAACAAGTATGTGAGTTCTACTATTCATGCTCTATTTATTCTGATGCTCAAACCATTACTGGAACCATTGGAGATGGTCAATATAGGTTTACCATTGATGTAGAACCCTTTTGAACTGCTCTTCGTCTTCCTTGATTAAAAAGTTACTCTGAAACTCACTCCGAAGAAAGTTATAAATATTTTCGTGAAAAATTAGGGTATAACTTCAATCTTCCAGGTCTCACTCATGATCCACATAAAAATACACTTCCTTAGTGTTTTAATGCATGATGGAAGTACTTAACAGGTGTAATTGGCAAATGTCATGGACATAATATTGAGAGTTTGGATCAACTAAATCTCTTTGAACAAATGATTTTATACTCCATCGTTTACATCAAAAGAATAGACTTTGCTCAAGTTTTTCTTGATCAAATGATTAACTACATTACTGGAAACAAGAAACCACTGAATGTTCTTTATCCTCATTGGCTTGGCCTGATGTTGTCTCGAGAAGAAGGCTATGTTGAAAGTCATGGAATTATTATTCCAATTCCTACCCTCTTCTAAAAATTTATCAATGTTGTTCCATCTAAAGGTGACTTGCCTATTACAGCAAGGATGCAAAAGTGGATTGAACAACCGTATGTGGTTGAATCATGAGACTCTAAATAAGAGAATGATCAGGATTATGACAATAATGATGATGATGCCGGTAATAAAGAAGGGACTGATGATGAAGAAGATGTAGATAAAGATGAAGAAGAATCAGCCACTGATAAAGGAGAATGGTTTTGCTCATGGAACGGACTCCCCCTAAGGATGAACGAACACATTCATTTTTCAACTACTTCTTCATCCTCTTCCTTTGTTGATGACATTGTACCTCGTGGATCAACCCCTCCTGTTGGAGATACTACTAAGCCAATGATCCAAGATGAACTTTCTCCAAAATTTTCTCCTTCTCCTCAAGTTGATATTATTCCTCAAGCCGAGACGGTTCGCCCTATGCCAACTGTTGGGTTTTTATTCAAAAATCCGGTTTCGCAACCGGTAAAAAATGACAATGGAAGCTTTTAAAAATGTTTAATAAAACTAAACTGTTTTATCCACCAATGATCATTTTGAAAGAGTTAGAAAGAATAAAACAACCATAGAAGGGAAAGCATAACAACCTTTGAAGCCTTTGATCCTCATGGGAGGATGGAAGTTGATGAAGTGTGGCATGAAACTGTAAAGCAAGAGTTCTCTACAAGTATCCACCAAGCAAGAGTAGTACCATCAAAACATGCTAGTATTCACATGTCATTTGTTGTTCATAAGCCTTTGAATTTTATACCACATATATGTTCAAATATGAAGCAACAAAGGGGCTTTGTCTACCATCAAAATGCAAGAGAATGGAGAAGACGAATAAGAGCCTTCAATTCCGAAATTTGGCAATCCTCTAGAGAGCATGGAGCTCTTAGATTTGGCTCTAAGAGGAGGAAGAAGAAGACTTGCAAGAAGTGTATCCAAAACCCTTCTATGCCCTCCCTTATATAATGCCCAAAAAAATCAAATGGAGACCATAAAGCAAAAGAAGAGACAACTTTGTCCCAAGCATGGCAAAAGAATAGACAAGGCATGCATGCCTTGTGTCCTCCCATTTTTTGAAAAAGGCATGTCCATAAGAAGACAAAAGTTGTCTCATGGCTAGTTTTTATACACATACATGTTATCTTTATAAAAATCAATCAATTTTATAAAGAATTCCCAACACACACAAACACACACACACACACATATATATATATATATATATATATATATATATATATATATATATATAACTTGTCATATATAAATATCTTATTTTATATAAAACTATCTTTTATATAAATTGTAACTAGCTTATTAAGATATATAAATGTAACTTATAAATAATCATACTTTATGATATATTTCATACGTTGTTATTTCTCCAATAAATATTATTTCCACAAATAATAAATTCTCAATTTGTAAAATATTATTTCCATGAAATAATAATTTTCCAATTAAATACAAGTGTTGATATACTTATTAATAATCAAATTATACTAATACATAATCAATTGACAGTAACTTGCTATATGGTGTGACCCTAGAGGATCATATATTATTAGCAATGTCATTCTATAATGACTCTTGGGCATACTAGATCTTTCAATCTCCCACTTGCACAAGACTCATCATAGATTGATATAGACAGTGGTGAATGTTTAGCAATATTTTACTGCCCCCAATAACATATGACAAAGAACTTCATTCATCAACATCCAATTCCCAAAAACTCTAAGCTTCAATTGATGTATTAAGGTAAGTTTATCAATTATCCCTTTGTTATAGACATCCTATTGAATATGAGCCTTGGATCGCAATTAATCTCATTTGTAATTCAACTTTGGGTAACGTGCGTTAGATGTATAACTCTCAACACATAAGAGGAACAAATCACATCTTGAGTACATAAGTCTCTTGCATAGTTCACACCATACTCACATATGACTTTTATAACTGCCCGGTCAAGGAACAACATTAGGTCATATCAAAGCACAACACTCCCTACACTTAAGTCCCACTATGTATATTAGGTGTTAAGGATACAAAGATAGTACATTTTAATCAAGTAACACTCACGATTGCGATCTATAAGTTGATCTTGATGCGGGTTCGTTCAGTACTAGTTCTCTGACAAGTACCTATGAAACTTGGTTACAACCACTTTCCTACTTTCATCTAGTGAGAGTAAACCAATCCATTTCATATTAGTCTTACTTCATAATTGCTCCCACAATCATGAACGAATATGAACCTTTAGAATAATAAGATTATTCATGGACTAAACATGCTAATATATAACACAACAAGTATTAATGTAATAATCATATCCCAGTATATCAAAACATTATGTAATAGTTGTTGTTACAATGTTCCAATATCTAAATACTAAATTCAAACCAAAATCTCATTTCTAGATTAATGAAGTCCTATAGCTGAAGTATGACTAATCATGCTTAGCCCACATATGGACTTTATTAATACATCCGACTAATTTTAATTTGTATGAATTCTACGAATACAATCATCTCCATATTTGACATTACACTAAGTAAAGCTAAATATTTTGGAGAATATAATTGGTGCTCTTATGTGACATAAAGTTTCTTAGCTTGATTAAGTACACTCTATTACTCACAAAAGATTTCTAGGTTATCCCCGAATGGAAGGATTCAACCTAGTTTTTCAAGGATCAAGTTCATCCAATTATATTTGATTTCAACTTCTGAAATGTAGTGTATTTTTATTTAGTATATTGTGTTTTTTTGTTTTGCTTGGACCTCATTCCAACTAAACTTACTCTTCATTCCATAATAAAGTCATAATCCAATTACAATTCATCATTATCTATATTATTTAGAAATCAAAATCATATGTAGCTCTTTACATTGAGATTTTGTTCTAAACTAATTATCTCATATACATTCTCTTAGCTCTTCTTAAGTACATTTAGAACGTACTCACGGTCATCTAGTGACTTAACAATGTATTTAATTTTGTATCTCATGATATGACACAAATGATGGATTCATTTTCTAAGAAAATAGAATATAAATCATTTCATCTAGCTCAAACCTATGTGCTAGATCCATTTGAGACAAACTCAAAATGGTGTCATGTGACAATGTCAAGAATCTTCCAAAGAAATCTTGTATCTTGACCTCTTTCAAGATATTGTCATTTCATGCAAAATGAATTTTAAAACCTTTAACATTCATCTTTATCTACCTCTTATAGATTTTAAATTCCAAAAATGTATCTTGTCATTCCTAAGTCTTTCATTTTAGAAATACTTTCAGAGTCAAGGTGAAAACCACCTTGTATAGTTGGAATTTAATTTCAAATGATTAAGTATGCCTCATTCATACAAGATTAGGAATATCACTATCCTCCCACTAGTTCTTAGTAAACATACACACACAAACATGTTCCTTTCATTTTATATAAAATCATACCTTATATCTTTATATTAAAATGACTATTCCAACCTTGAGATGTTTGCTTTTATATCCACAAGTGGATCTTAAGCCTTACGCATTTGGTTAGGATAACATGGATTAAGAAAACCTCCAGGCTAAGCTATATATATATATATATATATATATATATATCTTCTAGTAGATGTCTATTAAGAAAAGCGATCTTTCTTGAAATCTATTTGTTATATCTCATATTAAGAATATGAAGTTATAGTGAATAATATCCTTATTGATCTAATCATAGCTACTTGTGAAAAGGTTTGATCATAATCAATGTCCTGAGTATGATAAGGACCATAGTCAATGACATGAGTATGAGAAAATCCTTATATAAGAAGTATTACTAAATGTGTGTGTGTGTGTATATATATATATATATATATATTCTTTCTAGAAGAATCTCATACTCCTTCTAGCCTTGCTATAGAGAGAAAGATTAATCAAGCCCATACTTGATTATTAAACATGGATTACATCTCAATGTTCATGAATCTAAGTCATTTTTCAGATTCAAGATATAATATAACATTTTGGTAATTGATGGTTTAACTAGAAACCATCAAGAAATCATGAATGAGAGATTCCATATTTCTCAAGTCATAGATGATTTCTACCATTATTTTGAACAATTTGTGTTTATGAATAGCTTCTATTCATGTTCAACAATTCCTTGTGCCAACAATTGTTACATCCGACTCTGGTTCTTGAGCTGGTTCAAGTTCTACATGCCTCCCACTTGCTTTGTCATTAGAAGCTTGCTTTCTGCTAACTCAGTTTTCAGAGGAATAAATGAACTTATTCTTGGTGGATTTGTATACAATAATCTAAATGCCCTTTAATAACATTCTATAATTATGTAATTAGTTGGTGTTTGCATTCTAGATACAATTAATAGTGATCGAAGTATAATCCCAAAAAGGTTAAAAGGAGGACATTTCTACCGATTAGTAAGTAAATCATACCAAATAAGATTAATTCACCCTCTATTATCATTAAGTCCTTAGATGATTTTTACGGTTTGTATCTCAACGTTTTGAGACCTTTAATATAATTAAAACTACAATAGTTGTTAATAAATTTGATTTGGTATCTTGTGCTTAATAACATACATTCATTAGAAAGGAAGTTATACACCAAAGTGTATCGTTCCTTAATAATTATTTTCTCTACACTTTAGTAAAAATATTATTAGGAATCTTTTATATATAAATAAGATTCACATATGTCAAATAAACTACATTATTTTCCTTCAAAGATCCCTTTCTTGAAGTTGGAATATGTGGATTTCATTTATACAATAAAGATAACAATGTCATGGATAAGTTTGATTTAAAACAAGTTTAAGTTAAAAGTGATTGCATATAGAGCTTAATTTTATTTATAAATGTTGATATTTACTTTGTAATTCTATTAAGAGATCTAGTCTTAGAAATACAAGTTAATCATTTAAAAAAACGATCTAGTAAGTAATAAAACATTTAAATAAATAGCTGATACATAAATATTTAGTCATGCTAAATTTAAAACATACATTGTTCCAAACCAAACATTGTTTTATATTACAAGCAATTTATGTTTTAAGCATAAATAATAAACTAAACTTCGAGAGTGTAGTTCCAACTTGCTTGTGCTTAGCTAGTTACTCTTTTGTAAATATTTGCAATCAAGTTACAAATATTAGATTAACATTTAAGTGCCAAGTACTTGAGCGTTACATGAAAAGTATGAGTTCTATCGGCTGGACACCTAAAGTACTAGTCTCCTTCCGACTTTCTTTCTAGATAAGAGGAGCAATTCTTCTACCAATGTCCAGTTTCTTCACAAAAGAAACAAGATCCATCTATATGGGCCTTATTGGATTTTTTGGGCTTAAAGATGTTTATTTCATAAAACATGGGTCTTTTAGGTCATACAAGGTGACTCTTCCAGCCTTTCTCTATTCCAACAAAATATCACTATATTTACTGGAATATTGTCTAACCTGTTATATTAGATATATATCTAAACTATCAAAAACTT